AAAAAAAAAGAGGGCCATCAAAAAGCAGATTAATCATCTGTTACACTAAACTACCCTAAACTAAAAATATGGCCTGAAATCACATCTACTTGGATTGATGGTTTTACTCTGTACAAAAATTATCTGAGTAGGGCAGAGAAAGGTAAGAAATCCATTTTGGTTAACACAGCCATTGATTCCCCACGCAGTCCATGAAGAAAAGACACATTTTAAGGACAGAGATCCAGGTATACCTATATCTCTACTGACTATTTGGAGAAGAAGCATTTCTAAAGGAAAGTTCATTACATTTTAGGTGACTATCTGAAGGCAAAGGAACAAATAGGAAATGCTGGGCATCCATATCATACAACCTACCCTTCAGCATCCTCACAAGCGATGTGGTGGTTGCAGTTACTCAAAAAACTTTCAACCTATAAAAAGGCACTAGCTGAGATAAGGTGTCTGCTGCCCTGAACTCAAAGTGTTTCCATTCACTTTGGGTTCAGTCACAATCAAAGCTTTTAGGGCACTCATTGCAAAACACTACAGAAAATTGGAGAGACAAAAGCAATTGACTACTTTTGAAAAATCTGGCTTACAGTCACACAGCAAGTAAGAAACCATACAGCAGCTGGAGCCATTGACCATATCTGTATTCTGTCTTTGTAAGCAATAAAAATACTCAGCCTTGGCTTCATCACTTTCAGCAAAGAGGAGCTTAATTCAAATCGGCTCCTCATGGGTCTGGCTTCCCAGTAGACAAGCCTGCTGCGTTACTTCAGAGTTAAGCCAGCTTGGAGGAAATGTGAAACACCAGAGAAGATGGGTTAGAGGGCTTAAGCCTGTCATTATCATAACAGAGTAAGCACAGCCATAATAGGTATTTACATTAGAGATTAGCTAATACCAACTGCTAGAAAGGTTTCATTTTAGCCATCTTTATAAGGTTGTAATGATACTTTCATTTCTAATTATGTATATATATATAAATATATATATAATGGCCTTTTAATCTCTTCATGTTTTCTCTTATTGATTATTCTATTATATTATTACCCAGGCTTTATCTGGGTAAGTATTTACTAAGCCCATATTTACTATATATAAACTCAGCTGTAAAGGAAACAAATTCATTGTTGGACAGTCGTAACTGACATCTTTAAAGCCCTGAAATGCATAAAATACAGGACATGGGCAACAGCAGTTTAAAAACACATAGCTGTGCAACACCGTAGTCAAGGAAGAAAATGGGTAGAAATTGCTATGCAAAATGCAAGTGCCCAGACTAGAATTTGATTTGATCATAATATTCTATTTTCTATTATAATGTAAATGGAAACAGGAAAAAAAAAAAAAAGAAAAAAAGAAGAAAAAATCCTTTGTAATTACCACAAGTACTTAGAATTACAGTGTGAGTTCTTTGTATTGACTACTTTGTCAATTGGGACTGCTTTGTATTGAGCTGGAAAAATGATTATGCCTCACTGAGTAAATTACTACCTCAGAATCTCTTTAGAATTCAAAAGCAACTTCATTAATAGGGCAGACATTCATAATTTTATCCTTACATGACTAAATGATTTTCATGAACCATGTAAACATTACAGTGCTAAAACAATTGTTTAAATCTTGCATGCACTGCCTTTATTATAGCTCGTTTAAGTAAAATTATGAGTTTTTAATTTAATAAAGAAATATATAAGAAAATTACAAAAAAAATATTCTAAACAACTGAAAAGTTATCTAATTTGCAGCTGTTTAGCTAAAAGGGTACTTAAAAGTGATCTGGGTAATATTCTGAGTTATCACAACTGTCAGAGAGACAGAAAGACATCAAACACCATGGGCACTTTCAAAGCACCTTCATTGTCAAATGCTCTGACACAGACAATGCCTTCAGATTCTGAATGTTCAAGCCACAGTATAGGCAAATGAGCAGGCTTTTTTTTTTATTTGTTAATAGAATAATGCATTCTTATCTTACAAATATTTTGTTAATTAGTGCATGTTCATAAGACTGCTGACCATCATTTTTCTTCTAATAAAAATAATTACACAGACAATATTCTATTTTATACAAAACTGAATTTAGAGCAATAGTGTTCTTTCTAAATGAAAGAAACTGATATCAGTTTTTTTCAAGTGTATTAACTATTAACTTCTGGCTACTCCAGGTTTCCTGCATTCAAAATGGCTAATTTTCTAATTATTTATTCAATATCCAAATTTGCCATATTTAAATCCCTGCTAGTTTCTTTACTTCTGTTTTTTAAAACGGCTTATTGAATGGAAAGGAAAGGTCTGTATGGCTAAAATACAGGCTCAGTTCTGTTCACTTTGAATATTCAAGGTTCCATAGGTGGCACTAAATTTAAGATATGACCTTGTGACACCAATTCATCACTGAGAGCATTTATCACCGAATACAACAGAGCAATAAAGGTATGTAAAATAAAAATCTAACTTGCTAGTCATGACTGACTCTACGACTACCCAACCACTGGAGCAAACGGAGATAATTTTGAGGATGATTTTAAAGGCAATAAGGGAAGATTTTACTGACAGTATATGTCACTTACAATCAGCTGCTTAACTAGTAATGTGATAATCTCTCTACCATCTTTTTTTTTTTTTTTTCAGATCCTACAAGAAGTCTCCAATGGTTTAACATCTATCAGGAAAAATAAAAAGAGACTATAACTTGGCAACTCATCTGTACAACACTGTCTACCTTCACAGTATTATTTCAAAGGCAATCTGGAATTCTCTTAAGAAGGGACACAGTGTAGAAACCACAGAAACAACACAGATTCATTAAGGGCTACATTTTAAAGTAAGTCTGCTTATATAAATTAAATGTATACAAACAATGAATCATTTCAGAGATGTAAACTTAGTAATCATCATATATATATCTCCATACAACATGGAAATCAAATACTACAATCATGGATGGGACAACATCACAGGCATACAAATTCTCACCAAAATTATTGGCCTACTGATCTGTAAAGCTATTTCCATATATGACTATTTCCATCTCAAGCTCTTAACAACTTCTGTCTGCAATTTATCATTTACTTTGGTAAGTCTTGAAGACTGAATGTGATCCTCAGCATTCAGTTCAATTGACATCTGACTATCCACAGTTTTACATTGTGTTAAAAAGAAGTTTTAAACTACTTTTAAAACATAATGATACCTTTTTAAGTTTCTTATGCTTGTATTCGTCTTTAGGAATGAAACTAAATTAAAATAAACATCACTCTTGGAAAACAGTAGGAATGTTAGCCACGGTTTTCCAACTTTTTTCCTCCAAAAAACTCAATGACTATCACATAACATTTCAACATTATCTACTATCATTGAGATTTTAAGGCTATATTTAGATATATCCTCCCATAATTGAACATTAAAAAAAATCTACATTTTCTCATAGTGCTTTTTCATTTCCTTTCATGTAGTCAACTATGAGGAGGAAATGAAAACAGGTGAGTAAAGTTGCCTAATATCTTCTGAACTATCTTTTCCATACAGGTGGAAGCAGTATAAACTGTCCTTATCTTTGGGGGGGGGGGAATAAATTCAGAGACTCCTCACATTTAATTTTATTTTTTTCTTTAAGGTCACATAGACACATTCTGTGGAACACAGAAATGAAAATACAATGTTATTTTAAAGGAAACCACAGAGCTTTCCTTTCAATCTATAATTTGATTGTGCATTGAGGAAAAAATCAAACCCTGTTGCTTACTTTGTCACTAATTCTCTTTCATATCACCATGTTTATGTTCTTTTAATCATCCAAGAAACACTACAATCTTATACTAAAATTCTGGGGGTTTGGGAAGAATAAGTTGTCATGGCATACTACCTTCTCATTCACGGCTCCAAAAGAGAATTCCAGGATATAATCACTTTGTTCATGAAGGACTTGCATAGATCTTTCATTGAATGTTAACCTCTGATATCAGTATTGGCCAGTCCACATCATCTTATTTTTCTTCCCCGATACATGGTGTAATTGATAACAAACTAAATGAAAGAAGGCTATAGAAAGACTTTAAGGGCCACAGAAGCACTTGGTTTCTGGCTCAAGAAGTACTGATGGATAGAGAGATGAATGTTCATTTCCTACTTACTATTGATCCTGGGCATCAGTAAAATTCCTAAGGACATGTCTTGGACAAAGCCATTTACTGGGCATTCCTACATTTCACAACCATTTAAAAATGATGGCATAGACACTAGTCAAAATTTGTTAAAGAACACTTCTTACAACAAACACATCTTTACATTTTATCCAGTCTGCTACCAGAAAGTGTTTTGCCAAGCATAAAAATGAATAGTATTTACCAACACTATTTAATTTAAGTAGTCCCTCAAAAATTCATTTTGCCTGTCAAACATCACCATACTAATTAGGGGAACACTTTTCTCTTTTAATAAATGATAAGGGTCATTACACTGAAGAGTTCAGATCACTTATTAATTCAGAGTGACAGTGGGATTCATCAAAAATGCTACAAGCACTCACTCTAGCATATCAAAGAAGCTATAAAACCCATGTTGTTTGTGCCACATACCACATGTTGCAAAGGAGTTTGCAGAATACAAAATACATAAGATGCATGCGCACTCAGTGAAGAGGAATTAGTTTGTGCATTAACTTACTAACTCTAAAAATATTCACATTTACAGATGGAGGTTTTTTCATTATCAATCTGGCTACCTCCCTCCAGTTTTCAATGTCAAATAAGACAGAATTTAATAAACAATATTGTATTTTTTACTGTATTATCAGAACTACTAGACCACACTCATCAACAAAGTCACCATTAAAATTGGGTCTCTACCATCCTTTACTTAAATT